GAGGAATGTTTTCTCGCCACCGACCAGACAAAAATAAATATCCGAGTCATTTGGGATATTCAGATGGGATATTCTTGCATGTCCAGATGGAACGGAGCCAGCTGGTGAAAGCTTAATTAATCATGACATGAGGAAAACACTTGACCGAAATTTTCTCATCCCAGCTGTACTGTACAAGAATGAAAGAAATTCAGACTGTGCCGTCAGACCTAATTATGAGAAAAAAACATCACTTGGGATTCAAGGAAAAAAAAATATTGTGCCAATTGCACCATTTTAATTTTCCAGACTCTCTACTGTGTCTGGATGGCTATTGATCAGCTGTAATGACATTTCTATCAGACAGTATCTGAGCTGTTGAGAATCCTCAACAAAGTCTTGAACTACACTGATGCCACAGAATTAAATGGCTCCCATAATGAACAATGTTGTCTGTATACCCTACAGCAGGGGTTCTCAAAGTCTATATTCAAAGGTCCAAATCTGAATTTTCATAAATGTCAAAGGTCCGAAACTATGGGGGGGGGGATGGGGCTTACATGCGCTTCATGAGACACACACGCGCATTTGCACACACACGTAAGGTCTCTCGCTCTCTCCCTCTCTGCCGTACGCGTGCTGCACGGTTTGGAGCTCGCGAGCTCTAGATTCCGAGAGATTTGAACTAATTTGCGGGCATCAGGAGCCGCTATCAATATGCGGGAGACTCCTGGAACTTCCGGGAGATTTGGGATATCTGTGAACGCATACCTCTCTGTCCAATCATCTTTGAAAACTCAATTTTCTTCGTCAACTTTTCTTTTCCTGGACAATGACATCCTCCACACCCATTCAAACGCTTACGCCGGGAAGTGTCGCGTCGCGGTCGCGCCCGATTACGTCAAAAGTCACACGCTCACTGGATGTCATGGCAACTAAATCACGGAGGAAAACTTTAAATATCTCGCCTTCGTTTTAATTTTGGACCATCATAAAAAATAAACAAATGATTTTAACATGCGTTTATCAAAATAGGAAATCCAGACTTTTAATCCCTTACACACAATTAGGGCTCTTGAAATACGAAATGGAGGCGGGTCCGGATTGAATTCCCTCCGGGTCCGGATCCGGACCGGAGTCCGGACTTTGAGAAGCAGTGTGGCCAGTGTGGCATAATGTGATGTGCCTTTTACCACTATCCTGTTAAATTTAGTTTCAACCTAAACCAACTTACCTGCCTGCAATTTTCAAGGTATCTCGAGCACCTTGATAAACTGGTTCAGGAGTGTTTGATTCGGGTTGGTGCTAAACTCTGCAGGAAAGTGGGTCTCCAGGAGCAGGATTGAAGACCTCTGATGTATGACTCCGGAACACAACAGAATATCACCAGACAGAGACTGACTTCTTATTGCTGGCATTTATGGATTGAAGTAGAACAAAATGTGAAACCTGTGGGCAAGACAGATTCTTGTGGGATTGGTAATCCACCCCAATCAAACCTCTACCTCAAACCATCAAATTCATCAGCACAGAAGAGATGTGCCAAAACATGACTGATGTAAAAATGTTCCTTTTCAAGTAACTTGCAGCTTTTTATTTCAGAGCCTAGAATTCAATAATATACCTCCTAAACTAGGCAAATGAGCTCTAAACTAAGATTTTGGTGCGTCATGATTGTTTGTGGCCCTGTTATTCTGTAACATAGTTAAATCAGCTACATCATCGTTCGGCTCCTAAGTCAGTGGAAATGTGGGCCTGCTTTGAGAAGAAACATCTCCTTTGATTTTTAAGGAGACACTTGAGAAAACTCCTTGGCAAACTCTTAACCAATAAACAGAGATTTTTCCAAGTGCCCTGTTATAAGGTTTAGCATCCTGCTGTTCTTCTCGCGAACACACAAAATCTGAGCCACTTATGGCCTGAGGCGTTGCTCTTGAGCCAGACAAAATGCTACACTGTTTTCCTTTGGTGTGTGCTGTTCTGTGATTGGATCTGATAATCGTGCTGTAGGGCGCTCTTTTTCCTTTCTACCCCTGAGTCGGGGGGTAGGCCACGGCTTCTCACCCAAATTACAGGAAACCACCGCGCCTAATGACCTGTCACTGACTCAAAAACAAAGGGCCTAAAATACACAATCGGCACGAACATGAAATTACACCCCCAGTCACACTCTCGTAACTGCGCAAATACAAATGCTCAATCTCAGAGACAGTGTGTTACAGTGTGTGGACATGGGCATTATACATATATATGCCTCAGCCCTCATATGCTCATTACCGTCAGCAGAGACGGGATCCTCCATCTTAAACTCTGTAATTGGGAGGCATCTCCAAACCATCAGCGGTTCTGTATGGCCCCCAGTGGAGCTCTGTGTTTTGTCTTGATGAGAGGCACGCCAAACTGGAACTATTTTTTTCTCCCCTAGCCACTGAGGGACCGTTTTGCGCCTCGGTCTCAGGTCGAGCAGCCCAGTTTTAGATTAAGGATTGCGCGGTATAATGAGGTGTCCTGCAGTGTCAGGCATCCGTGGCTACGCAGAGGACACATTCATCCTAGCTTGCGCTACCACTTGCTGGTGTGTGTGCGGCATGATAGAAACCGGTGCAGCCGTTTCAGGCTTCGCTCCTGTAGAGGAGCAGACAAAGGCCTCCCTCAGGGACATACAGCAGCAATTCTCTCTCTCTCTCTCTGGACTCCGATGGGACGTGTATACGGCGATGATGCTACCAGGGGGCTCTTTCCCCTCCCAGCTCGCTTGTCTGAACGCTGTGAATACAATAGTCCAGATCCATGACTTCACCAAGCCTGTTAAACGAGTGGCATTATGATTTTTCGCTCTCGGTAACTCAGACACTGGCCTGGCGATTTGCATGACATTGCTGGTAAAAGAGAGGATTAATTCATTGGATACAGTTGGGGTGAGTGTGGGCCAGCTGCGGTGGAGATTGCGATCAGCCGACAGCAGAATTCAGCCCCGCTGGCTCTGCTCATGGAAATGAGGGCAATCCCGTTGGCTAGGGCCCTTATCAGTCATCATGGTTTTGTGTTCTCTAACTACACGGCACTGCTCAAAAGGTTCGTTTTCTGCACGTACGCTCAGCGCAATGTTGTTTCCCCCATCCCTTCTTGTGTTGTCATGACAGTGACTTATGGGAAGCACTGTAATGGTTTTTTTTTTTTTTTTGGGTGGTGTGCATTGTGTTCACATAAGTGAATTTGTACGTGGTTGGTTCACAAAGCAGCAGGTGCACAGGAGATTCCAGGTGTTCTGTTATTTTTCACCCAGCATTAAGCCATTGGACCGTTTCAGATCCTCCCGCCCCTCCTATTGCGTCCGATTAATCAAGGTTTAGCTATCGATCAGAAGTACGCTCCCACATTCAACCTTATTATCCTCTGCACAGAATTAACTCTTCAACTTCCTCGAGGCAGGAAATCATTTTGTTGGGCTGAAATAAGTCATATGTTATGGAAGCATATGGGTAGCAATATTCAATTTTAAATGTAATGTGCAAAATGACAATGCAATATGTAAAATGGCAATGCATTTCTGTATTTAAATTATGTTTTCCATTACATTTATGCATCGTTTGGTACAAAATGAAAATTCAATTATATAATTTACATTTTCCATTTTATACATTAGTTTTAATATGTAAACTGAATACATATTTTAACGCTTTGTAAGTTGGGAAACGAAAATGTATTACAGAAATTTTTAGATATGTTCAACATGTTCAAGCAAAAAATGTAGCAAAATTATCATTTAAATGTTATTTTTCTTAATTGCATTTACACTCACACACAGTTAAGACACTTGCGAATGCATTTTCATTAAATGTCCCGCAATGAATGTAGCAAAATTCAATGTGCAAATTGAAAATGCATTCTGAGCTGATCACGTCTCCACCCCCCCACTCCCCCCAACCCCAATGCAAAACCTCGGCAAAATAGGCTCAATCGTTTTTACTTTGTGCTGTAAATTTTCTTGTTTGTGCTGTTTTGTTTTTTTAGATATTAGACATTTAAGTACAGGTGATGATGTCACCACCACTCCCCCAAACCCCCCCCCAAACCTGCTCCTAATTCACCCAAAATAGGCTCAATCGTTGTGCTTCGTTTGTGCTGATTTGTGTCGGTAAACGTTTATTTTGTGCTGCTTCGGTGTCTTAGATATTAAAATAATATTTATTGGTCATTCTGGGGTCACTCAGCCCCCCACATGCTCCAGATTCACGCAAAATAGTCTTGTTTGTTTGTGCTTCGGTTGTGCTGGTTTGTGTATATATATATATTGTGTATAATATATATATATATTTTTTATTGTTAATTAATTCTTTTACTAATTTTTTTTTAAAATATGTTATTGAGATGTAATCTTAGCTAGCTGTATTGGAGATGTCGGTCTTCCCCGTTAACATTATGATGAAATAGAAGTAGAGACAGATCTTTACTTTTATATTGTGATGTACATTCTAGTGTAAAATGTAGGGTGGAGATTTGGTTCTATCCATCGGTTATTGGTTGAATTTTGAGATGTGGGCGTTCAAAACTGGACGTAAATGAATGTGAGCTTGCAGTTTAAACGGACTGAATGATTGGGGAAGTCCTACATACGTCACCATAGAGAAGTCACTTTCACATTTTTGACATTTTGATAAAAATTAAGAGCTCAAAAATGTTTTTCAAAATGAAACGTACGGTACATCATGGATGAATTGTTCACAATCATATCAATAACTTGCATTTAGAAAATAATTCACAGGGTGAATTTTCATTTTGTGACTGATGAAAATAATTTTCATGTTGACTTTAAAATAGCTGTCTACATAGATAATAGCCAACTGGGGGTGTTGTCAAGATTGCTGCCGTGTGGGCTGACTTGCCTTATAGGGACTGGTATAATTAATGATTTCTTTCCTTTTCCATGTTGTGTACGTAGGCTTACAGAAAGAGTTCCTGGTGGATGTTGCATGTTCTGTTAATAATCTCATCTCTTTTCTTATTTTGTGTCTCGGCAGCTGCTCAGAGTGAGGAGAGAGAGCGGGAGTGTGCTTTTAATGACCAGCACCAGCAGGTGGATGAACAGAGTGTGGCTGGTGACTGGCACATCACCAGAGAAAATAACACCATCCTGTGTAGCAAAAGCAGCCGCTGCTACGGCCTGTGGGAGAAAACACATGACGGCGAGATCCGACTGGTCAAACAAGGTCAGAATAAACTCAAAAACACAAAAACTTCTCCACACTTATAAGGACCTTCAATTGACTTCTGTTTTTTTATTAAAGGGACAGTTCAACCAAAAATATACAGTAAAACAAAAATTAATCAGACACCAGATATCATTTTGTATATTATTTTTACTAGTGGGTGCAGGATACTATAGTTCATGTACTGTAAGTGAGGATAGCAAAATAAAGTAAACTGTGACATATTATACCCAAAAATTCTTCATACAGTGCACTACTAGTAAAATTTATAAAAACTTGGGACCAAAAATTAAGAATTGTTTGGTAATTGGTTGACCTAAATTGGTATTATGTAATTGTGTACTTAAATTTAACAGCTGACAGCTATTCAACCTAATTCATTTGTGAGACCACCACACACCAGCTATAGGTGGAGAGCAGAGAGAGGGATAGAGCCAATTCAGTGGATGATATTCAGTGGATTATATTATAATACTATTATATTATAGTCCTTGAAATGCGCACGCACACACTTTTTTTCCCCCTTGCACATTCTTACAGACTCACTTTACAGTGTCTCACTCTCATTCACTCAACCATCTGCATCTTTTCATCGCAGGCTGTTGGACTTACATTGGCGACCAGCAGGACTGCCATGACGACCGTTGTGTGGTTACCACCACGCCGTCGCAGATACAGAACGGCACCTACAGATTCTGCTGCTGCAGCACTAACATGTGCAACGTCAACTTCACAGAGAACTGGGTGCCTAGCCCCACAAAGACCAGCCCCCGTAAGTCCTGCAAACACTACACAGAGGGCCTCTGCACCTCTAGGTCTCATCTGAAAGCTCCATGTCGCTGTCTAAGAGTCAACGCCCATATTAGATTTCTGTGATAGAGTAGAACTGGTCTTGCAGGATATATTGTCATCAATCTCACCACAACTCATACTGATAATGTTCATATATGAGCATGTTGTATGTTCTCATATACGTAAATTGTCAGATAAAGAGAAACATTCTAATATACTAGAGGACTCTTTTAGATGATTATTGTCCTATATCAGCTCATTTCTACAGCTTTGAGTGTCGGTTCAATTATGGTAGTATTAACACTAAAAAGGGAAATGCTTGCTAAAATTAACTTGCACTAGAGTGGTCGGCAGTTACCAACATACTCAATTACTGACATTAAAGTACCTGTGTGTGGGTGACTGATTTTACTGTTGAGAAACACGTTAACGCTAACTGCATTTAATCTGTTCATCTGTCTCTGCTTATAAAGAGTGTGGTGCATTATGGGATCTAGGGCTATTTTGGTCTAAATGAGTGTATAAATTATTGTGTGGTTTGGACTCTGTTGGCTTTTCTCTTATGTTCTCTTCTACAAACTACTGTATCGACTGTGCTTTGGAATGTTGGGTAAGAAAACTCAATAGTCTTAATAGTCATATTGACTTCCATGCAGTCCATGGAAGGCCAGCCTCCTCTCGTCCATGGGGTCATGGCTTTTTAAAATAAATGCCCACACAGTGTTGTAAAATAGCTCTTTTGTATTGTTAAGCTTTTTTTTTTCTTTAAATACAAGTATGCCTACAAGCTATTGTTCAGTCATGGCTGTCTTTAGCTTTTAGAATTGACACCAGCTCCATTCCCAAATTCCCATCAACAAATTAATTATTTTAAGATTCACATTGATTCACACTAGTTGTTGGCCTTTTTCAACATTGCTTGTGATTCCATAATGCTGTTGAAGTCGTAAGTTAACTTTGTAGGTTACCAAATATTATTCTTATGTTACAAAGCAGCCCTGTGGTACATGTTCAGCCAATATCAGACTATGTTTAGGTATCTAGTGACTCGTTTGGGTGTTGGGTGTCGTTTTACAGGGGTTTTGGACACTTGTTTGCTGGTCAGGCTGAGAGACCATGTGGCAGACTTGTTAAACACCAGCTTGGCCAAACTGGGACACCCCCAGCAAACCACCTACTGTATTACTATTAAAAATCAGATGTTGAACCAACCAAAAAGTCAATTAGCTATTTTAAATGGAAGGCATGCTTACTCTCTCATAACCATAATATTGAACATCGCAATTGACCCTTCGCAAAGACCCGCCCCCCTTAGTTACAGTTGCTATGTCCGTCAAGCTTTCACACCACATACTTTACTTGCACCCTCATAATGCGATTATAATGGGATTTTGGCAATATTGCGATTAAACTTCACCTCATGTAAACATAATGCTTCGATTAAACTAATGCAATTAAGCTCATAATCGTCTATCACAAATAAAATATATGGTGTAAATACATGGCTATTTTAATCTCGTATGTAAACACTATAATCGCATTATTACCACTCTGACCATGTGCTCGATCCTATACACTGATGCCGTATGTTGTTCAACTTCATGAATAAAAGCTATTCTCAAGTTTTCCCTCCACTCCGAATCACCAAACTCTGTCAACATAACTCACAGTGCTGTCTCTGCTCAGTATCTTCATGCAGAGCCGGCGCAAAGAAAGCGGCGCAGCGTAGGCAAACCCAGTTACAGCGGCATTGGGATGTTCTTCACGGCGCAGAGTAACCTTCCATTACATCCATCGAAATGTGATTTGCATTTGATGTAAGAAGATTAAAACAGTGGCCAGTAACACGCATACTGTATATGAGTTCATTTTGTGCTGTGCGGTATGCAAAAAATGCAGATTAAAAATAACCACATAACATAAAGACATAATCGCAGCAATCACAAGTAAACCTCTTCACTTCCGTTTACATGGAATTTTCCTAATTCTAATTAAGTCGTTACTCTGATTATTGGAAATTAGCGCATTATTGGTGCACATGTAAACAATCTCACGCTGTGAAAATAACAAATAACATCGCGGAGCAACGAGGACACTGACAATGCGCCAACAGAGTGAACAGATATGATAGAGCAGGTTACTTTTGGAATGAAACAAAGTCTCAAAGTCTTTTAAGAAATTCATACAATAAATACCATTTTGTGGCACTTCAATGTGTCATGACAGATCGCTGTTTCGCCTCAGTTCAAGCGGCATGTGAACTGATCATCTCTTCCTCTTTATTACTAGTTACAGCACCAACTAAACATGAATGAACATCAGAAGGTATGTTGTTTCGACTGCGGAAAGACGTCAATACACGCCATTTTTCAATACACGCCATTTTTCAATACTCACCATTTTTCCACCGACTGTAATCTATTAACTCTACTGTCTGGTTTGTTTGTTGGACAAATACAATGGGACACAAGATATCGGCGTTATGATTGGTCAGATCGCGTGTCAATCAAACTCCCGGCGAAGGGTGAAATCCACGGATTTGTTTAAACTATGAGTTGCCCGTCTGCTCCTCCTGACAGTGTCTCTGGTTAATAAATACTAAGTCCCGCTCAGATGTAGTCCTGCTTTCAACTAACCCATACATCCTTTCATTTCCCATCCTCGCTCTCCTAGAGCTGTCTAATGCCTTACTTCAGGACAAAACCACGGCTTTACCTCTTTCTTTGTGCCCTCTCATTCTCTTGCTCACTCTCTCAGTTCTTTTTCTCCTTTTGTGTTGCTTTTGAGAGTGTATCTTAAGAAATGCCGGATGGCCCTGCTTAAAGGATAGAAATGAGTCACACCACAAACGCAATCAAACAATGCAGTGAAAAATAGAGTGAAATACAGGGGGAAAAATCAATGGCTGTCAGACTTTGTATAGTGAGTTATTTGCATGCTGCTTCGCTTCTCGCACCTCTTTTCAGTGCACTTTTCCCGTTAGTCTCTTTTTCTCTTTCTCTCGTAGCACAACTTCTCAAGCGAAGAGCCTTGAGAAGCAAGTTTTGATTTAAAGAAATGGAAAAATAAAAGGTTTCAGGCTCAATGAATGCAATGAATGCATGTTTAAGCTTTGAAGGCTTGACCCTGGAAATCAACTTTGCAAAACAACATTCTAATTAATCTGTCTCTAAAAACAAAATGAGAGGTTGAATGCATTAGTGCTGTGGAGGGGGCCCCGCGTTTGGTGCCATGCCTGCGTGAAGAGGCCACAGAGATTGAGAATACATTTGAGACTCAATGTCATCCAATCGTGTTTCTGCTCTCGAGTGTTACCGGGCAGAATGCCCGCGCACATGTGTCTTTTGTATCCTCGGACACCACCAGACCGTTTGTCCCCTTACCGCCACCACAGAGCCAGTCAAACCCTCCTTTTTCCCCAGTTACACTGTATAGCAGCAGGGTGCACTGCATCCAAACCCCTCCCACCGCAGCTGTCCGCTGACATGCCTGCTCGCATAGCGAGAGACATCAGACTGACTGTATCGGCCGTCCTCAGCACATGCGAATAGAATCTGCAGCCTTGTGCAAAATGCACCGACACTTGCATTGATGGACGACGTCTTCTCACACATGTTGCTTATGTCTTCCTCGTTGAGTGCAAGACCGCTGGCATCGTCACTTGTTAAACAATCAGTTAAAATGTTAACACATTTTGTTATAGATACATGTAAGTGAAGTGCAGATTTGGAAATGTTCCCTCACCCCATTTTCTACGTTTCTATTTACTTGGAGAGCTGCTGTGGTGACTCTTTTTTGTTTTTTTTGTTTTTTGGTACTAATTTATGGCAGCTTTTCAGCTCTCGGAAAATGGGCGGCACAACAAAAACACGCTCTTAAGGAAGGATTTCAACAGAAGGAGGATGTCACACCAGAACCAAAGGCTGTGACAGGACGAATTATTTCACTTTTAATCCTGTAGAGTAGCAGACGTGAAGACATCCTCCGTGTGAACATATTCCCGGGACTGATGATAATTGCGCACGCAAGTGTTGCGTTCCAAAAAGAGAAATCTCATTTGAACGCCACCAGCTTTCCAAACCTCTGAATTCTGCAGTGTGAGCAACAGTTTAGAAAGATTAGGGTCTTTTATTTTGCTAACAATAGCAGGAGGAGAAGAGACGCGCTCATTCTACAAACACATTGCTTTAGATAGTGTGTAAATTGAGCATCACCAAACATGCTGTTCTGCTGCATCACAGAGGCACATTGTTAGTGTGTGTTTGTGAGGATGTGCACACACCTGCTGACTGTGCCCAGCTGTTTTGACATCAACACAATACACTCTTAACATTCTCTGTGGGCCACAGTGCCGAACTGTTTTAGCCTTATTTATGACATGCAGTATGTGATTGACAGCACAGACTTTCACGCAAGAAGATTTTAAAAAGAAGAAATGCATTCCTGTTGGTTTGAAAGCTTCTACTGACATCCACCCTTTTTTCTGAACGCTTGGTCGATTTTTGCATGTTGGGGTTATGACATTTGCATGTTGCTATTTTAAAACGGTAGCTTCCCAAGCTTCGGTTTATTGTGCTGAGTTTTTTTTATATATTTTTAAATGCTTTATACCCGCACTTTAATCTGGATTCTATGCATGGAAGGTGCTATATAAATAAGATGGGTTATTATCATCATCATCATCATCATCATGCGTATCTAAAGGGCCTTAAGAATTAAATGGTTTTAGTATTTGTAAATTTGTATTTTTTTTCCTTCAGATGTGATATATTTTCATGTGAAAATCAAACATTTTCCCAAAAAATTCCTACATTTGCACCAGGCTTGGCGTGAATAGATTTGGTGTAGAAAAAGGTTTCCACACTTCCATGCCGTTTATTTATGCTTTTGGCTTGCCGTGAAACAGGGCTGTTGTTATCCACAGAAGGAGGAGCGCACATCTGCTAGTCTCTGACATTGTACTGCACTGATTTTGTAAGC